CTTAAATGAAGAGTTATTGGTTAGAAGAATGGTTTCCTTTCTGTCCGACAGGGATACTTACCTTTGTATGAATGTCTCCTCTGATTCACATTTTTATTACGCGACGAATGTGTGAGTCTATAAACCATCTAGAAAAGAAATATAAACTGACGATAGACGTGCTGATCAAAAGTGAGAGGTTGCACGTAAAACACACTTGTGCAGTGAAGATAGAGTGAAACCATACCACAAAGTTTCGAAGTACACCTGCATTAAAATTTGTCCATTAGTAAGTAGTGCTTAACGTACTTTCATGAAGATGAATAATGAGTATTGATTCGAGCTAGAAAAATATGTTGCAATGAGATCTTGATACTCTCAGTCACTACTCTTTGTTGATTTTTCAACATTTTGAGCGATCATATCCCTCATAATTGATAAAAACGCCTAAACTTTAGATTTGAAAACCAGATAAAACATGCAAACATATCAGCCGTATAACGGATATTCTCACCGCCAACCAACTTCAAGTTATCATCAAGGATTATACTATCCATCTCACTATTCTCAGCAGCGTGGTGACGTAGATTCGAACTCGCTTTATTGGTATCCACCTTATTATGATTACCTCGAACAAACATCAGGAGACATACTGAGTGCAGCCAAATCCTCTGTGTCCATGATGAGCCGAATAACTGATGTGGTATCACGAATTGCAAGCAATGGTCTGCAAGCTGCATCTGCTTTATTTAGTATGTTGAGCTAATGAACTAAATCACTAAGCGTACCGTCTTCACATGGACTTTCGCTAAATTTTATGACATCCTCATGAGAGCATGAGCGCGAGAAAAAAGATTTAAAAAACTTTTACTGGAATATGACAAACAACTTACAGCTTGATATCAAATAAAATGTCTGAAAAATCATTTAAAGGCTATTCATAGGCAGTGATCCTTTCAGTACGAAAAGCTTCTCGAATAACTCATCCGTAGAAGGCAGAGGTGACTGTGTTTTGCACAGCATGTTAATTATTCTGCTGTGTTGCTGTGTGCTTATTCTGATGTGTTTTAATTTCACATCCATAGTATAAGAGAATCATAATATAGAACTCGTCGGGGAATTAAAACATTGTTGCGCACAGAGCTCATATATTCTAAACGCTTGCACATTATGAAGTCTGAACAAGAGATAGTTTATAAATTAACTTTAATTAATTAAACTCAATTATTAAATTGAGACCAGAACTTCTTCTTTGGATGAAGTGTGATCCGGCAAGGATGTCCCTGGACGAGATGCACAAAAAGGTCGAAGAAGCTGCGATACAGTTACTGTATCGAGGAAAGGAAGAAATTCAGAGATCGTTGCCTAATAGATGGATTTCTACGAATTCTGTTTGTGATAAGGATGAAGGAAAGCCGCAGGAATTAACAAAATCGTTCTCTCGGCAGTTGGTGCAACTGAAAACACCAGACAGACCAGTTATTGTTGCTAATCTTGACGCATCTTCTTCTCTATCAACAAATTCTTCTGGCCAACAGAATCAGACAGCTAAATCTCCTGCTTTTCCAACTAATAATGATAGAAACCGACCAGCTTCTCAAAATCGACAAACAAATTTTTATGGACGAAATAATAATAATAACGGAGGTCAGAATAGTAACAATAACGGTTCTCGTCTGCCTTTTTCTTCAACTAATTCTGCCAATTTTAATCGTTCAAATCATCAGCGGCAAATCGGAATAGAGAATCGCCAGAAAAGGAGTTACATAGCATTTTCTAAAGTTTTGAAAGAGCTTTCTTTTAATATATAATGTAGACCGCAGCCTAAGTTCTTTCATGGTAAAAACACAGAAACATTATCCATCACTATGCTTGAAAAAATCACTCTGAAACATCGAAAGAAAGTGAATTTATTGAAACCGCTGTAAAAACAACTTCTACTAATTTATCCTTGATTCTAGCATGCAAACGGAGATTTTACCTCTTAATATATCTACTAAAAACTCTGTCAAAGAATCAAAACTTGTTTCAGAACGAAAGACGAGAAAGAAAGTTCCTGTTAAGTCGCAGAAACAGCACAGAAGATCATCATCTCCTGACCAATCTATTTCTTCACCTAGCACAGAGGTTGATCTTAAGTCTAAAACAAAAATTAAACAAAAACATATGAAAAATCACCATCCGAAATATTCTGCGTCATCCTGATCATTTTCAAATAGTTCGTTAACATGAAGTGACACTGCGCATTCAGATAAAATGAATTTTTAGAAGTTCAGAAGAAAAGTAAAACTTTGAAAAATAAGAGACATCATCGTAAACAAAACGCTTCTCCTTTTTCAAGTAGTAGTGATGATGACGATTCGTATTACGGTGGGAAAGAGATAACTTCAGAATCCAAAGAAGAGAATTCAGAAGAAAAAGAAAATCTAAAAAACAATTTTCTAATTCTTCTTCTGCACGATCAACTGTCCTCACTTCACCGGCACCTTTGCAAGTTACCGTTAATGATTCAGTTGCTCGTTTTAGTGGTAAAGCGGATAAGCAGCCTAATAAGTTTTTGCATGAGTACCAACAGAAAATGCGAACGTTATTTCGGGCTGGGGATTCGCAACTACTGCGAAATATTAGTAATTGGCTCACAGGCACAGCTGGTGATTGGTATTTACAGCTTTCCCAAGGTCATCATTTGCCGGATACGTGGCATGAGTTTAAAAAGTTGTTCTTGTCTCGTTTTCGTAGTCCTGAAAGGATAGGGGCTTTGAAAATTGAACGTAGCCGTTGCGTTCAAAAAGAAAATGAAACAGCAGCTGATTTCTATCAAAGATATTTGGGACTAAATGTGGAAATTAATCCAAAAACCAACGAAGATTTACTAAAAAAATACTTTCTCCGAAAATTGAGATCAGAACTTGTTCTTTGGATGAAGGGTGATCCGGCAAGGTTTTCCCTGGACGAGATTTTACTTTCAGAGATTCGGCTGACCCGAAATCCTTTAAGAGATTTGCCAATAATTCAGCTTAGAAAGACGCTGGACAGCCGGCGAAGATCTCATTTTACTCAAAACTCAATGCATATTCATATGCAATGCCTTCCGAGGATAATGGGTTTCCGAAGGGTTCTGAAAGATTTCCAGAGAGCCGGTTTTTCAGTAAACCTCGCCATTACTGTGAGGCCCTTCAAGCGGCATTGCATCTGAATGTGCATTGAGTTTTGAGTAAAATGAGATCTTCGTGGGCTACCCAGCATCTTTCTAGGCTGAGTTATTGGCACATCTCTTAAAGGATTTCGGATCAGCCGAATCTCTGAAAGTAAAATGGTCTTATCTCAGCCTGAAGATGTGCTGGAAGGCTCGAGAACGTCTCATTTTGCTCAGAATTTGACGCTCTGTCCATATGAGGCGCTTGGGTAGAAAACGATTTCCGAAAGGCTCTTGAAGGTTTCTCGGAGTTCTGGGTTTTTGAAGACCTAGTTGGAAAACTCCAAACCTCTCAAACGCATTTCTAACGTGTTTAGCATTGCTTTTTACGTAGAAAACCATAATAGCAGGTCTCTAGGTGGAAATATCACTAAGCTATGGGTCATCATCTGAAGGATTCTTCGAAAAACTCGGACTTTTTCAGTCTTTTCCTAATTTCTCGTAAACGGAAAAACGTTTTGGAAAAAATAACACATACTGTTGTGGAGCAAGGCAAGTCGAATCTTCTGGCGTATGAGGTTCGAGTGATCGGTGTTTGATCAGCTACGAGAGTTTAAGACTTGAAGAAAAGTCATCGAATGACAAGTGCCTAGATGTGCTTCTCCATGCTGAATCCAAAAATCGCACCGGTGAGATCAAAAAATGAAAAGATCAGGAAATCGGGATTTTTCGGAAAAATCGATTTTTTGAGATTTTTGACGCCCTCACAATAATTTGAGGTTTTCTGCATGAAAACTCGGTCAAATCGAAAAAATAAGATCAGATTCGTGATCAGCAGCGTCCGACGAATCAGAATATGTGTTTGAAAATTCAAAAACTTTTCCACTTGATTTTTGCCTTAGCGGCACCTTACATGTACATACTCTTTTTAATGCATCATATTCATCTGTACACTCTGCAGTTTGTTTTCCAAATAAGTAACACTCACTAGAATACAATATAAACGTGTTTTTAAAATCAGATAAAATCAATGTAAGGAAAACAAATAGATAATACTTTGTAGCATGATCAAGTCGTTGTTTCAATTGATCGTTTTCATTTTGTAAGGACTGCAATGCTTTTTCCGCTTCTAAATGACGACTGACTATCAACCTTTAAAAGAAAACAAAGGAAAAATAATCAATTAAGTAGAAAAAGAAAAGAAAATAATGTAAACAAATAAATACATTTATGAATAATCAATAATGGACAAAGATAGTATAAATAACAACAAAAATTAAACATGTTCACTATTATCATCATAATATGACAATATTTATATGTTGAAAACTTCTCTCAACATAATTTTAACTTTTTTATATTATACTACTCTACGGTTACCTTCGTCATACGAATTAACAAGGGTAGGAGAATTAATACTGCTGCTGCTGATTAAATAATGGATGATTTGATTGTTGCACTAAAAATAATTGCGTAACAGATATCAACTTTAAATTATTCTATATAATAATATAATATATTTTGAATATTTACTTGTTGTGTTTTATCAGATTCATTAGTTTTCATCAATAATTATTCTTTCCCGTTATTATTTAGTTACTAGTACATTGTTTTTAATTTTCAATACATGTTTTTCTCTGGATAATGTTTCATCCAGCTATCCCTTTTTCTGGTACTTCAGTCTGATGTCACGTAATAAAACTCGGAAAGTGGTATTTGATCTACAGCAGTCTTGTTGATTCAAGTACTGGTACTTATTCATCAGCATATTTTAATCTTTCAATCAGAGCTGGACAACTCAACTCCGGAGTTGAGCGGTTTTTTTTTGCGGAGTTGCAGTTGGGTTTTTAAACGACCGGAGTTGAGTTGATGACAGATTTTGTCAACTTCAACTTCAAAACTCCGATTCACAATTTCTTCAACTCCATTTCCTTTTTTTCGCGAGAGTTCTTTTTATCTGATTTTTATCTATTTTTGTAGCAAGCGGTACAAACGTGTGCTCAGCATATAATAACATATGATACACCTCTCATCTGGCTGCACATGTATCGCACGGAAGGAAAAGAAATGCGTGTTGTGATCATATGGTAAGTTCGAAAGGGAAGAAAAAGAGAAAAATCTGTTCAGATTGTGATAATCTTAGTTCTCAGAACAGCGAATATGCTTTCAAAATTAACATTATTGAAATGTAATTTTGATTTGTTATAATGATTTTTTGTGCATACTATTATAAAAAAAAACATGACCGTTATGCGGACAAATTAAAAAACAGGAAGGCAAAAGAGCAAATAGATTTCAACTCAGAGTTGAGCCCCTTGGAGTTTGAGTTTGAGTTGCACCTAGCCGGAGTTGTCCAGTTCTGTTTTCAATTCGACCTGCATCATTACTTAACTTTATATTGCAAATACAGATGCTAGCCGTGTCATCGACTTCAAAACCGGCGCATTCATTTTTGGTAGACAACGTCGAACTTTTTTAAGGCGTTGAAAACGTTTGTGGTTCCAACCCATTTAAACGCTTTCATTTTTACGAGTTTTGCATTTAAAACCGTGATTTTTGACGCGTTGAAACCATTTTCCACGTTTTTTCAACGTGTCGTAGGCAGTTTAAAATGTTTTTTCCGAAAAATAAATGCATTTGAATGCGTTGCAACTACAAACGTTTTCAATGCGTTAAAAAAGTTCGTCGTTGTCTAGGGGGAAAACGCGTGGTAATGATAAATTTTTCAACTGACGTTTAAACGCCTCCGAAACTTTTGTAAATTTCTTTCTGTGATGTTTCCATCTGTTTTCTCTTTCTAGTGTACTGCACAAAGGATGTCCAAAGGATGAAGAAGAAAACGTGTCAGAACAGAATGCATTATGTGTACATAAAGTAGCGTTCTTTTACAATTACAGTTTTGCACAGTTATTTCCACTTCTTAGCAGTGAAATTTTACTATAAGGATTGTTGTAAGTAAATTAATGGTTTTTGCGACAGTTTAGTCTTATACTTTCAAATGAAAATGAATGCTTCGTTTCCAAGGTACAAGAGAAAGGTGAACACGAATGTGTTTTCTATATCTCTTGCTGGATCTATCAAAACTTATTTCTACAGATATCGTTCCTGATTTTCAAAAATGTTATCTTGATTTAACAACTAAGAAATGTTCTAAAGATCGTCCACTTTTTACATCAGCAGTAAATCCAGATGATGATGATTTTCCATGTGTATTTACACCTGCGACAAGAGATATTTTATGAAGTCAATAAAACGTTTTAAGTTGGCTTGAGCAATCTTTTGTTTTCATAAACGAACTAGACTACAAAACCATGTCGCTTATGAAAGTTTCAACAGTTCTAGAGGAAAACTAACAATTTGGGAAGCCATTATATTGTAAGCCTATGAAAGGACTAATCTATGGAAAGCTTAAAATTCAATAACTCGGGAGCGGAATAGGTTGTAAAGGTGGCACTTTGTGTGAATATCACAGATATACAGAAGAGCCATAGAGAGAAATTTGAGCTCTTAACTACTTTTCTGCACGGAGATATGAACTTCTCTATTATTGCTATTTTTCGCTAGGAAAAATAAAAAAATGCTCGTAACTTTTGAAGAAAAAGCCATCGATCCAAATCCTTTTTAGCTTATCCTCTATCGATGGACGTATGAATGAATGAATTCGGAGGAGTACATGTCCATAGGTTTAGTCCCCGTCTGGACTTCTCGTTAGAGAAAAACTGTCCTCATACTCGATAACTCTGCAAAACGTTTACGTAGACAGGCTCTTCATACCTTCCAAACTGTTCGCCGTGATAATTTTCCAAAGAAAATGGTTCTTCATTGTCAACATTGGTTGTGTGATATGTCTGGCTTATAAAACTGATTCTATTACGGAAACTCTAGCAAGTACTTGCTAGGTGTATCGTCAAGTGCCATTGATGCGAAATAGTTTCACAAGATTGAACTAAAGTGCATAACCTCAATAGTTTTACGAGATTGCTTACCATTTACATTCGGTATACCGACGTTTGGGTGCACAATGTATTACACGACATTTGGGCGCAACGATGTAGTTCAAAGGCGCCGATGCGGCTGCGGGGTGCGGGTGAGTGTGAGTATCGATGAAGATTAAACAAACAGTGAATACAGTTGGATATGTAGTAATATAGGAAACGCTTGCATACCGTACCAAGCTCGTTTAAGGAGAATTTTATCGTTATGCACAATACTTTAATAAACGGACTTTTACTGAATGCTTTTGCCATACATGCGCCCAAATGCCGTGCGCCCAAATGTCATGCGTCGAAATGTCGTTCGCGCCCAAATGTCTGATAATCTGTGCATTCCGTTCTATATTTTAAAAATTTTATTCACACGATGTAAATTTTTCGTTCTGCTGAAAAGTAAAGATCATTTCATGTGTGCTATGTATTTGTGGCAACAAGTGCTGATGATCGACAAATAAGGATCATGGTACTGTTGCATAAAATGATTATGCACTAAAGCTGAACTCGAACAAATTATTCATTAACATCTAGCATATGTTTATTTCAACTCAGCCAGTATAAACTGCATTCGACGAGCATACATTGTGCTGACTATAATCAAAAAAATAAGTTTCCCCTTGATTACTATGCAATAAAGACCAGGAGAGAACACTGTTTCCGGAAGTTCATCGATATCTCCTATATTGTATACGTGTGCTTTTTGTACTTCGTCCATAATGTAAATAATCAAGCTGTTTATCAAAAATATATTAAGAAACTTAATTGACTTATGTAAAAAAAACGCAATGCACTTGAATGGTTCGTTCTTTATAATAATTATTTTTCCCTTGACGAAAGTCAGGGTCTTACGAAACAAATAGTTTGTTTTTCTATTTGTATATTCACATAGCAACGTATATAAAAATATATGATGTTTTTTGGAATTTTTTAAAAAATAATAATCAAAAATTTTAATTAAAGATTTTAGGCACTATTACTTTTTGGACTGATACATGTAGATGAATGTAAAAAAAAGCTAAGTTATAAAAAACACAGAAAGAATGTGTGTGTACGTATGTTTCGATATTAATTAAAGAGTATCAGTTTTTTTGATCACCAAAAAAAGATACTTTTGATTACCAAATTTTTCAGCATGCATCTCACATTTTTATTTCTCAACAAAGTATAATGTACAACACAAACATATTCATTGAAATTTTAACCAAATGAATAATAAAGCTGTGCTAATTTTCTTGGAACGCCCTTTTGCTTTTCGTTTGCCTAATGGTTGAATACATGTTTTATCCCTAACTTGATGCAAGTTAAATAAAATTGCTAATCCAGCAGAATGTTTACACGAATATACTAATAATGGTAAAACAAGCCAACAGAATTGTTGCCACACTAGAAAACTATTGATTGTATCATTGGCTAGATATTTATCATTCTCATCGGTGGCTTATATTCAACAGTTTTCTGGTGTGGCAACAATTCTGTTGGCTTGTTTTACCATTATTAGTATATTCGTGTAAACATTCTGCTGGATTAGCAATTTTATTTAACTTGCATCAAGTTAGGGATAAAACACGTATTCAACCATTAGGCAAACGAAAAGCAAAAGGGCGTTCCAAGAAAGTTAGCACAGCTTTATTATTCATTTGGTTAAAATTTCAATGAATATGTTTGTGTTGTACATTATACTTTGTTGAGAAATAAAAATGTGAGATGCATGCTAAAAAATTTGGTAATCAAAAGTATCTTTTTCTGGTGGTCATTTGTATCTAAATATGTTTGGTGATCAAAAGTACATTTACTCTTAATTAAACATAAAAGAAATTGCATAGACGATTGTAAAGGATACTTATATTGTCATAAAATGAAATCATTGATACACATAGCTTATAAAATGTCATCGAATTCATAAATATTAAATATTTTAATGGATCTCAAAATTCTGTAAAAACCTTTTCCTATCAACAAAACATAAAACGTCAAGGGACCGAATGAAATCATAGAGGAACATTAGCTGGTTTCTTTTAATTGAGAAATATATAGAACAAGATTTTGTTTTCAATTTTACTTTGTTTATTCTTCGGCATTGTATATCTTTTCATTTTTACACGTACACTCTATAATTAAAAAAATGTGAACGGTCATATATAAAAAATTTGTTTGATTTTATATTACAATCATACCTCTTACACGCGGCAGTAACGATAGAGAAATGCATATTTGAGGAGAAATAACTTGTTTAAAACTATTTTTTTATCTTCAATTCTTTACTTTTCTTAAAAACAGACACTGTACTTAATTAGTTTTATTCATATTTTACATGCTCTACTAGACTTGTGCTTAGTGCGATTTTGATTTTCCATTCGCTTAATTCCGCTATCAATGCCGTTAAAAATCAATCAAGTACATAAACCAAAAGTGAAAAGAATTCGTAGATGTAAGGTAAATGGAAAGCTGGATTTACGTGTGACCAGAAAATATCATCCTCATTTTTACTTTTTAGCTTTTTGATCAAATTTTTTCAGTCCTTAGTTCCTAAACATTTTTCGTTGCAACTGTTGTGTGGGTTCCAACAAAACTAAGTAGACGCCTAGATTTTCACTTGAATATCGCAGTGCGATATTCGAGATCTTTCCCATATTTGTATGAGTTTAATAGATTAGTTGATCTATTTGTTTATGCGCCAGTAGGATTACAAGAAATATATGCTGCAAATTTCCCAGTGACGTGATGGCGATGACTTTCATCTATTATCGCAACAGTGACAAATAGAGCCTATCACAGAGATAGTTTTGCAGTATTTGTTCTGTGATTTTACACAATTGTATTTTCTCCGGTTCCTCTTCTGCGACGATCAGATAGCCTATGTATTCTACATAGTTTACATCATCAATTGAACCTTAAACAAGTAGCTGCAAGCAACTGAGTACTAATGAGCAGTTTTTAGTGAGATCGTCAGATCTGACGGTTCATCTGATAATAATTCATAACTTTGGATGTTGGATATTGATAAAGATGAGGACTATGTCAAACATCGATTCTAAGAACCAAATGAATTGTAATCCCTTTCTCACGTATTGATCAGCGTTCAGTATGAAAAAAGATATGGAACAAATAAATCACGTGTCAAGTCGCTTTCTATAGGTCAAAAATAAGAGGCTAGCCATCAATATGCGTTGCTTCCTAGATGCATAAAAGAATCAAATCTATTAATAGTTTTTCACGATCCGAAACAGTCTCAAAAAAAAAATTTTATACCCCGCCCGCCCGTTCAAATCGTTCCTTGCCCGTCCGCGCCCCCGTATATTCCATTTCACTGCTTTAACCGCCCGTGTCCACATTACCCGTACCCCGCCCGAACCCGTTTTGATCTTGAAGATTCACGGGTACCATTTTCGTACCCGTACCCGACTCGAAAATTTTTTTTTCACCCGTACCCAACGCGACAACTTTGTACCCGTACCCGACCCGTGACTCGAGCTATACTTAAACATTTTCTCTTTTTTTTTCAGCTAAAAGCTTTTGTTTTTCTGCTCAAGATGTCAAATTATCATTACGTTCTCCAGTAATTCTTTTTTAAACTTTCATGTATTTTAGCTAAACTCCTGTATTTTTTCACTAAAATTTTGAGGATTATCCATTAAAATCTTCCGGTTTCTGGCGGTCACTACAAAAAATAGTGGAATTCCGACGCATAAGAAAAAAGCTAAATTCGGATGTGATACGATACTATTATAAATTTAACCTTAGTTACAGGTTAGAGCTTTCCATCGTTTCCAATAGTTCTAAGTCGAAGTCATTCATTTTCCTTGTGCGTTTTAGTTGTTACATTATATAGCGTGTGACCCAGAATAAATATCGCATTCAGTATTTTCTCAATATCTCAGTCAAAGTTAATCGTCAAATCTCAATCTGTTTTTTAAAAGATTCCTCATTCAATTCTCTACATAAAACATATGAACATTTCTTTATGTACTATAAGAATAAAACAATATAGAGGAAATACGGGAAAACTTTAATATCGATTACTTTCAAACACAAAACAACAGACAGATTTTTTGATTTCAGTTCCGTATATTTTGCAATATAAATAAGAGAAAATGGCCATTTTGTAGTTTCTCGAAAAGCTCTATCAATTGGCTATATTTAAGACTGTTCATAGGCTGAAGCGGCCGCAGGAAGATACGTTTTCCTTTTAGCGCTTTTGTCCGAAATAGGCCTTTTCTAACTGCAGTTTTGAGGCACTTGGAAAAATTTGTATA